CTCCCTACAACTGTACAACAACTCACTCTTATGGAACAGATAATACTCCCTACAACTGTACAACAACTCACCCTTATGTCACAGATAATACTCCCTACAACTGTACAACAACTCACCCTTATGTGACAGATAATACTCCCTACAACTGTACAACAACTCAGCCTTATGTCACAGATAATACTCCCTACAACTGTACAACAACTCACCCTTATGTGACAGATAATACTCCCTACAACTGTACAACTCACCCTTATGTAATAGATAATACTCCCTACAACTGTACAACTCACACTTATGTCACAGATAATACTCCCTACAACTGTACAACAACTCACTCTTATGGAACAGATAATACTCCCTACAACTGTACAACAACTCAGCCTTATGTCACAGATAATACTCCCTACAACTGTACAACAACTCACCCTTATGTGACAGATAATACTCCCTACAACTGTACAACAACTCAGCCTTATGTCACAGATAATACTCCCTACAACTGTACAACTCACCCTTATGTGACAGATAATACTCCCTACAACTGTACAACAACTCACCTATATGTCACAGATAATACTCCCTACAACTGTACAACTCACCCTTATGTCACAGATAATACTCCCTACAAATGTACAACAACTCACCCTTATGTCACAGATAATACTCCCTACAACTGTACAACAACTCACTCTTATGGAACAGATAATACTCCCTACAACTGTACAACAACTCAGCCTTATGTCACAGATAATACTCCCTACAACTGTACAACTCACCCTTATGTGACAGATAATACTCCCTACAACTGTACAACAACTCACCTTTATGTCACAGATAATACTCCCTACAACATACATAACTCTGTGTCGTCTTGTATAAAACTGATTTTATTTTGTATTTCTTATTTTTCTGTTTTATTTTGACTTTGGTCCTGATCTTTACCTTTATATAATTATATTTTATTGCACACGTGTCTCTTTTATTTTATTTAATTTTTCTCCTTATTTATCACATTTATATTTTTCTCTTTGTTTTGATTTGACTTTGTGACTCTGTCACGTTTGTCTCAGTCTTTGTTCAGTCGAGATCAGCGACTCCACAACTGAAATGATCCACACGATTCTAGTGAAGGTGTGCGGAGTTTAAAAACACAGTGGAGCACTTCCTGTATCACCACACAATGACATCGAGTTTTTTTCTCATGCTAAATGTTTGTGTGTTAAACATGTGAATGAAACAAAACACAAGTCCAGTTCTGTGTGTGACATTAGAACAGAGCGGAGGATAATGGACCTTTAAACACTACATTTCCCAGGACCCTCCTCTGCGTGGTGACGTCATATTCCGCGGCCCGTCGGTGTTTGGCGCTCCCGCTCGGCTGGTGTGCGGCTCGTCCCGGTGTTTGTTGTTGTTCTTCTCCTTCTTCTTCTCCTTCTTCTTCTTCGGGCGCGCGTGTTTCCGGCGGAATGGGTCCCGTGGAGGTGAGCGCGTGCATGAACAGCGTGAGGCGCGTGAGTGTTGGACCTGAAAATGTTCCGTAATGAAAAGAACGAAACTTTCTACAATGAAACGTTTGTGTGTAAAGAACCGCGAGCTGCTCCTGTGTGTGTGTGTGTGTGTGTGTGTGTGTGTGTGTGTGTGTGTGTGTGTGTGTCTCTGTGTGTGTGTGTGTCTGTGTGTGTGTCTCTGTGTGTGTGTGTGTGTGTGTGTGTGTCTGTGTGTGTCTGTGTGTGTGTGTGTGTGTGTGTGTGTGTCTGTGTGTGTGTCTGTGTGTGTCTGTGTGTGTGTCTGTGTGTGTGTGCGCTGTGTGTGTGTGTGTGTGTGTGTGTGTGTGTGTGTGTGTGTGTGTGTGTGTGTGTGTCTGTGTGTGTGTCTGTGTGTGTGTCTCTGTGTGTGTGTCTGTGTGTGTGTGTGTGTGTGTGTGTGTGTCTCTGTGTGTCTCTGTGTGTGTGTGCGCGTGTGTGTGTGTGTCTCAGTGTGTGTGTGTGTCTCTGTGTGCGTGTGTGTGTCTGTGTGTTTGCAGATGCTGCACATGTCAGTTTGTGTTTGTGTGTTATTTGTGTGTGTGTTATTTGTGTGTGTGTTTTTGTGTGTTATTTGTGTGTGTGTTATTGTGTGTTTTGTGTGTGTGTGTTATGTGTGTTATTTGTGTGTGTGTTATTTGTGTGTGTGTTATTTGTGTGTGTGTTATTGTGTGTTTTGTGTGTGTTATTGTGTTATTTGTGTGTGTGTTATTTGTGTGTTATTTGTGTGTGTGTTATTTGTGTGTGTGTTATTGTGTGTTTGTGTGTGTGTGTGTTATTGTGTGTGTTATTGTGTGTGTGTGTGTTATTTGTGTGTGTGTTATTGTGTGTTATTTGTGTGTGTGTTATTTGTGTGTGTGTGTTATTGTGTGTGTTGTGTGTTATTTGTGTTATTGTGTGTGTGTGTTATGTGTGTGTTATTGTGTGTTATGTGTGTGTGTGTGTTATTTGTGTGTGTGTTATTGTGTGTTATTGTG